GACGTGAGTACGCCCCTGCGGGCCCGAACCGACCTCGTGGCCCTCTCCGGCACGGGGACCCCATGCCCCTTCCTCTGGGGGGGACCCCGGCTCCGGTGGGGACTCCGTCCCCCTCCTCTCCGGGGGACCCCGACCCGGGCCCCCTTCCTGCCGGGACTCCGCGCCCCTCCCCTCGGGGGGACCCCGACAGGAACCCCCTGTTCCTGCCGGAACTCCGCGCCCCTCTTCTCGGGGAAACCCCGACATGGACCCCACGTTCCTGCCGGGACCCAGAGCCCCCTCTTCTTGGCGGAGACGCCCTGCCTGCTAGGACCGCGCTCCTGCTGCTCTCAGGGAGCAGTGACATGGACCCCTGTTCTCGCCGGGACCCAGAGCCCCCTCCTGAGAAGGGGGCTCCCAACCCATCCCCACAGGCAGGCGGGGCAGGACCCTCACCCAGTCCCACTCCAGCCTACAGGGCGAGCCCCCTCTCCTCCAGGTCCCTGACGGGTCTGCGCCCCAAGTCCTCTCCCCTCCCTGGACCGGGGTCCCCTCCTTCCCCTCCACTTTTCGGCTTCCCCGCCTCCCCAGATCTGGGGTTCCTGAGCCCCCAGATCCTACAACAGTCTCCTTACTTTTGTCCTACGTAAGCCTCCATCCTTTCCCCAGCCCTGCACCCCGCCTTTTACCCTGCCCTTTCCCGGGAACCCCCAACCACCACCGGCCCCCTCTGTCTGAGAACCTACTTTTCTGAGACCCCACAACCCCCAGCTGCGTGGCTCCTCTCTCTTCCCGACCCACAGCCGAGCTGGTCAGAGACCCTTCCCCCAGCACCGTCTCACGGAAAGGGGAGCCCCTTGGCAACACAGCTTCTCTGCTTCGCGCAGATGCAGGACCACCCCCCAACCCTCAGCTTGGACCCCTCTGGGCATCCCCACCCCGACCCCCACTCTATTCTGAGCTCCCTCAGCCCTCCAGTCTTTTCTCCACCCCCACCCTTCCCCACCAGGAGCCTGGTTCACTTCAGGGACCCCAGACTCTTCCGTCACTCCCCCTCCCCGCCCCCTAGGAAGGCCACCGCCCTCCCCTCCCCCTCCCCCTCACCCCTCCCCCTCCCCAAGGTGGGGGAGGGAGGCTTCCTCAGGGTGGGTGTCTGGGGGGCCTCCCCTGGGGGGGCTGCTGGAGGAGGGGAATCATCCCAGTGACAGCGTGGGGGGTGTGAGCATGCATGACCCGGCAAGGGTCCTGTGAGGTGTGTGGCGTATTGTGGGTTCGTGGGAGAGTTGTGAGTTTGTTTTTGAGAATATATGCTCACGCGTGTGTGTGTGACTCGTGTGCAGTTCCTCCTGTTTCCCTACTGTCTGCTGGAACCCTAGCTGCGTCCGAGCCGGGAAGGGACCTTAGGACTGTGAGTGCCTGTGTCTCTGCTGCTGCAGGGTCCCACTCACACAGCCGGACACACACACTCACACAGCCAGATACACTCACATACGCATGCTCCCACTACACACACATAGCCACACACACACACACACAGAGACACACATGCACACACATACTCACACAGTCAGACACACACACTCACACAGCCAGATACACTCACATATGCATGCTCCCACTACACACACATAGCCACACACACACAGACACACACATGCACACACACAGCTGGACACACACACAGCCAGATACATTCACATATGCGTGCTCCCACTACACACACATAGCCACACACACACATGCACACACACTCACACAGCTGGACACACACTCACACAGCCAGATACACTCACATGTGCATGCTCCCACTACACACACATAGCCACACAAAGAGAGAGACACACATGCACACACAGCCAGACACACACACAGCTGGACACACACTCACACAGACAGATACACTCACATACGCATGCTCCCACTACACATACACAGAGACACATGTGCACACAGAGCCAGACACACACACATACACACAGCTGGACACACTCACACACATGCCCAGACATAGCCGGACACACACACTCACACCCAGACACACACTTGCACGCACTCACATAGCCAGACAGTGATGCAGCTAAACACTCTCTCACACACACACAGCCAGGTACACTCACGTACTCACACTCCCACTGCACCCACTCCCACTTACACAGTTGGACACACACACCCATACACCTGGGGACACACACCCAGGTGGACACACAGCCAGATGTACACACTTACACACACACTCATGTGGCCATACACACCACTCACACACAAAACTGGACACACAGCCAGACACACACTCCTACACAGTCGGACACATACATCATGCACACACACAGCTGGACACACTCCCACTCCCACCACACACACTCCCACAGCTGGAGCCTGTCTCCCCACAGTCCCAGAGTTCACGCCTGTGAGCCGTGGGCTGCAGGGTGCAACTACTGCGGGGCTTGTCCAGACGGCTCCCGGTTCATGTCCTCGGACTGTGATGGCAGCGGGCTCTGAGCCTTCGTTTGCTCATCTGAGAAGGGGGTGGGGAGAGGGGTCCCTCTCAGGCTGCCCCAGCACTCCTACACTGGCATCCTGGCTGTCAGTCACTGATGGCTCATGCCCAGAGCAAGTGCCTACCTGGTGCCAGACTCCAGGGGGGCCTGGGACCCCCAGCCTTGGGGGCTTGCACAGTAAGAAAGAAGAGTGTGAGGTGTCCAGGCTGGTCTTGGAGGACTGTGTGTGGGTCTGATACCCCTTTCAGTCGGCTTCAGTGGTTCCTGCCCGTCCCCAGGACTCGGGTTCCGTAAGGGGAGGGTGTGACCGGCCCCCAGCGAGCAGCAGGTGTGTACTGACTTGCTACTTAAGCCCCTGTGCCTGATAAAGGACATGACGTCCCACTGCTGCAGGGACAGGTGGTGGCAGGGCCCCCTTCAGGGCAAGGAGGGAGGTGGGATGGTCATAGGCCAGTTTCCTCTCCCCACACCCATCAGTATCATTTACCTGGTACTGGTCAATACTAGTAAGGAGGAAACTTGGGTGCAAGGAGCGGCAGTGCCCGGGCCTGGGGTCCCTGGTCCACCCCCCCCCCCATAGGGAATGTTAGGGCCCGCCCCTTTCCTGGGATCGCCCTCAGACTTGAGTGTGCATGTGAGATCCTAGATCCGGATAGTAGCAGGTTCTGAGTGACTCAGTGGGCCCAGGCTCCCCCCCAACACGTCCCAGCAGGGCATGGTCCTGGCACACAGTTTCCAACAGTGGCCACATCTGCAGCCTTTAAACTCCTGGCACCTGGTCCCACAGGAGAGGCTGCTTGCTTGCTCCTGGGCCGGGCCTGGTGCAGAGGTTTGGAAAAACCCTGGGTGATGGTCTCTTGTGGGAGGAGCCCTGACAGAGAGAGGCCCCCTAGGGGCCCCTGGCCCTTATTGGACGGGGGGGCCGGGGCTCTGCCCAGGCGCAAGGCTGCTGAGAACAGCTGGGCAGAGCCTCTCCCACTGAAGCCCCAGGTCTGGGGCTTGGGCTGCCCTCTTCCCTGCCTGGTGCAGCCAGAATGGCCCATCCTGGTAACTGAGCCCCTGGCACTGAGCTAGCCATTCCCCACCCAGAGAATCACCTGTCCTGCTCCCCCCTTCAGTTCAGACTGAACCCAAATTCCCTGGAGAAACAGGGCTCTGAGGGGTCTGGGAGAGGGTGCAGGGGTTGGCGTGTGGCTGTTTCTGGACGCAGACTCTGCATGTGGTGTGTGTGAGCACACGTGTGCATGTGCGTGGGTGGGCAGCGTGGACAGGGACTGGAAGGGCTGTCCGCCCGGCTGGCAGCAGAGGGAGCGTGGGTGGCTGTTTCTGCCGCTGCTGGCTGGGCCTTTGCCTGGACCACCCTTCCCCGGCCCTGGAGCCTAGGCTGCTAGGGGGCTCACTCCCAGGCGAGGAGTGGGACGGAGGCTCGTCAGAAGCCCGTGGGGGCACCTGCCCTTCCTGGCCTAGAGCTGACTTGACCTCTCTTTTCCGTAGATCTTCCGCCGGGCGGACAAAAATGGTGAGTGTCCTCCCAGGCTGCTCACTGAGTGAGGACTGTTTCCTTCTGTCCTGATGCTTCATGGGAAAGAGCCCTGGGGCAGGGGACATGACCAACCTCGAACCAAAGGCTAACAGCACATGGCTCTGAGTGCACCTCAGTTACCCCAGCTGTAAAATGGGGATCCTGCTAGGCCCCCTTAGTCAGGTGCCACAAGAATTCTGGGAGCTGATGATGGCTGTGGTATTGAGAACGGGCCTTCCTTCGTTAGTATCTGTCAGGCTGTTTGTTCCTTTTTTCTTTTTTTTAAATTTTTATGGTGATTTGGGTGAAAGTTTCCAGAGCAAATTCCCTTTCCATACAGCAGCTCATATACACTTTGTCTCATGACGTTGACTGCAGTTCCCCACAGTGCAACAGTTCTCTTCCCACTTCCTCCCCGTAGTTAGCTCTACCCCTTGTCCTTCCCTCCCATGTTTGTTACTTTTATCGAGGTGAAATTCACATAAAATCCACCATCTGAAGAGTGAACCATGCAGTGGTCCTTAGGACATTCACAATGTTGTTCAACCACCACTCCTGTGTCTAGCTTATTTCTCTGGGCACCCTGTTCTCAAGCTTCAGGTAGGGTGCAGCACACCCCAGAACCTGCTTTCTAGGGTCACATGATACTCCAGTGTATGGATGGACCCCACTTTGTGTGTCCATCATGTGTGGATGGACATTGGGGTGGTTTCCACTTTGGGGGCCACTGTGAGCAGTGCTGCTGGGGACATGCCTGTTCGGGTTTTTGTTCGAACACCTGTTTTCAGGTCTTTGGACTCGCCGGGTCATGTTATAGTCCTAGGGTTGACCTTTGGATAAGCTGCCACACTGTTTCCCACAGGGGCTACACCAGCAGCGGGCCAGGGGGTGCTTGGTGTATGCAGCTGGTGTGTCACTGAGCTGGACCAGGGCATGACAGGCTGGGGCCCAGAGACCTCTCTCAAGGATGCCCCAGCCTACTTTAGGCCCTTTACAGGCCACAGAGCAGTTACTGCTCACAGCGACCTGAAGCAGTTGTTTGATGCTGTTGCCCAGAGAGGTTAAGTGGTTGGCCCACGGTTGCCCAGCCAGCATGGGAACTTGAGGCTCTGCCGTAGACTCCTGGCCCTTCCCCCCCACATCATGATGTTGCCCAGCAACATAGGCGGTTGTCATGGCTACAGAGTTCTGGCGCTCTGTACAGTGCTCTTCCTTTATCTGCGTCCATACCTCTGTCCACCTGTGCCCACACTTGCACTCGTCCTAGCCTCACGCCTGTGCCCCTACGTCTGCCCCTCCTGTTTCCATACCTGCTCCCGATCCGACTCACACACTTGCTGGAGCGAGTATGCAGGTGTCACAGGAGACTGGCTCACGAGCACAACGGACTCCACCGAGCCCCTCTGACCCTCACCACGGAAAGGAGGCAAGTGACAGTGTTACAACTTACTGTAATCACCATGGTTGTAATTATCGGGTCCAAAGCAACTCTCTGTGCCCATTGACCAGGCTCAGGCCCTCTCTGGGCCTCAGTCTCCCCATCAGTCAAGTGGGGTGATAATACTTGTCCCGCCTGTTTCCCCAGGCTGTGGGGGAATCGGAGAGATGAGGATGGCAGACTTTATCTACAGGAAACCAAGCGGTGTCCGTGTTTATTCCTTCGTTCGCTGAGAAAGTGCTGGTTAAGGAGGGTCTGCAGCGAGGAGGGGACAGCATAGCCGGGTGCCTGCATCCCCCAGCAGGGCGCCCTGCTGCTATGTAGCGCTCAGGTGGCTGCTCTGGCCCGGGTGCCTGGCACCCCCAGCCTCCCTCCCTCCCCTCCCACTGCTGTCACAAGCTGGGGTGTGGGGTCTTGGGGACTGGAGGGGGTTCCAGTCTGGGCTGGCGTTCAGTGCCAAGAAGTCTCACCCCTGGGCGACAGCAGCCTGTCCCATCCCCCTCAGGTGAAGACCGTCAACAGCAAGTGCGGGTAGGGCAGACGGCCAGGGGACACTGGGAGCAGAGGTGGCACTTGAAAAGTGGCATCGTGGCCTGGTGGCTTTGGAGATTTGTGACAAGGGGACTTGTCCACAGAAACAAAGAGTCGCTCTGTGTGCCTCAGAGTGAGCGGGGGTTTAGGTGGGGGGTGGCTGCGCTGGGACTGCCCCGTTGGCTACCAGCCTCCCCAAGCAGATAGCGAGGTCTCTGAGAGTGGGCCTGATCCCTGGCACCCAGAATGCCATGGGTTTATGTCTGCAGAATGGTAGTTGCTGACTCCCTTGGTGGTGGGAGTGCGGCCTTGTGGTCACTGAGGTGCCAGCAGGGTGTCTGTGTGGCTGGAGTCTCGGAACGTGCTGAGGGGTATGGAATAGGGCAGACATAGGTTCCCAACTAGGCTGAGCACAGGTGTGGTGGAGATGCCTATATAGTCACACACAGGTGTGTGTGCCTTGGGTCTGCATGCGTGTGCCTCTGACACCGGCAGTGTACAGGAGGGTGTGTGTGTCCTCAGGCCAGCGCAGTCAGGCTCCCTGGTGTGTGTGTGTGGGGGGGTGTTGTCGTTTGTTGGTCCCTCCTGAGCGGTCTCCCTCATGCCTGACCCTGCTGACAGAGACTGTTTCAAGGATGGGCCCATAGGCTGACGGCCCAGGCGAACACCAGAGCCGCAGGTCCCTGGATGCCAAGCCTGAGGCTCCGTGGAGGCTGAGCCCGGTCCCCATTAATGCGAATGTGCCACGCCTGTACCACATTCCAGCTCAGCTCCTAGTGGAGGAGAGGCCGGCTGGCCTCTGACCCAGCACAGTCATGAGGCAGGGCTCTGAACCCAGCTGCCTGGGCAAAGTCACTAAACTCCCGGGGCCTCAGTTTCCCCATCTATCAATGGGCTTGACCTTTACCACAAGCATACCCCAGAGGGATGGTGTGTGGAGGAGAAGTTGAGCTGGGGCCTGGCCAGTTGGGAATCAGTGAACCTAACACCAGCTGATGAGGATTGAAGGCCTTCCAAGGCAGGAGTCTGGTGCTTGTTGGCAAGTGTGTGCCCTGTGCCCGCAGGAGGCTGTCAGCGGTCGTGGAACACGTCTTATGCTCCAGGCCTTCACAGACAGTGAGGCTCCACTGGAGTGGCAAGTATCACCCCCACCCCTTTCACAGATGACAAAGGCCAGAGCTGGAAGGGGCAGTGGGCACTGTCAGGGCCTTGGGTGGCTGGTGCGGACGGTGCTGATGTCACCCAGCACTGGGGTGAATACACTGTGTGGGTGTGGGGACAGGTGTGGGAATCACTATGGGACCATGACTGTGGGAGCAGAGGCTTGGTGGCCAGTCTGTTGTGGCAGCTCTAATGAAAAGTACTCCCTTGGTACAGACCAGGTATCCTGGTCCCAAAGCAAGGCACGTGGTGGCTGACAGAGGGCAGGAGGGCCAGGCTGTGTCCCGCTGGGACACGGACATGAAGCGGTTCCTGGCATTTGAAAGGTCGCTGCCCCCGAGGCTGAGCTCAGGCCAATTAGCAGACACACCTGCAGGTGCCCTTTTCTGGAAGTGGAGTTGTGGGCCCGGGCCCTGGTCTAATTAGACCTGTGTTCCCAGCAGGAGCCCTTCTCATTAGCAGACAGGCTCGGCCAGCCGTGTCAGACACCAGGGGAAACACCAGCGGAGGAGGGTTTGTGCTCAGGAGACGGGGCCTCTTGCTGTCTGTCTGTCTGTCTGTCTGTCTTCTGAGTGTATGGGGATAGAGACAGGAGTCCGCAGCTCAGAGCAGCAGGGGGAGCGAGGGGCTTGGGGTTCTCTCAGGGTGTACTGGCACCCCACGCCCGTGGCAGATGTGACTGAACCCTCCCACACTTCCTGTGGAGTCCAGACCGGGCCTCAGGGTTTTCCTGCACCCGCCTGCTGTGGCACCACTAGCTGCCCCTGGCTGAGAAGGTGGGGAGCGACTCCCCACCCCTGATTACGCGAGGGGTGGGTGGGGGCCCCCCCACATCTTGCTAGGTTGAGTTGAGGGTGTGGACCAAGGAGCCAGACTGCCTGGGTGCCACTTCCAGCTGCGGGACCCGGGCAAGCCCGTTAGTCTCTCTCTGCCTTTCTCCCCTTGGGTAAACGGGCCATGGTGCTCCCTGTGGCACGGAAGTGAACGCGGAAAGAGCCCGATGCGGCAGTGAGTCCGCTCAGTGATTCCTGGGTCTGCGGTCTTGTCAGCGCTCCCAGGTCTCCCTGTCACCGGACCCTGAGACCCTCAAGCCCCGCTTCAGCTCACAGCAAATCTCAGGCGCACTCCACGGCTGGGTCTTTGGTTCGCTTGTTTGGCTTTCTGAATCCCTGGCCTTCTTTCTCCCTCTGATATTGATTTGCCTCCTGGAATCAGTCAGGCAACCCCTCCCCTCGCCAACACTGTGTGACACTGGCCCTGAGCCCCAGCAGAGCTGAGCTACAAGCCCTGAAGCCGCTCAGCCGAGCCTGGCCCCCTGCATGAGGGGCTCCGATCCAGCGGGGCCTCTCTCCCAGCTCAGCTGTCCCGCAGGCAGGGCATCATTGCCCAATGCACACACAGTGCCCATGGGCCGGAAGTGCCCAGAGCATCCAGGTCTGAGGGCCCAGAGGTGGCAGTTGTGGGCGGGACCTCTGCAGAGAGGCGGGGGAGCCAGCCAGGAAGGTCACTGTTCTCCCAGCTTCTTCCCAGGGGACAGGTGTGTCCCCAGCAGATACTGGTACTTAGGGCACCCCTGAGGGGCGAGAGGACCCTGAGTCAGAGAGAGGGGGATGCACAGGTGGCGTGGGTAGGGGTGTGGGAATCGGCGTGGGATCAGGTGCAGGTGTGGCAGACAGCCCTGCCTCACCCACCCCAGGCCTCGCCCGCTCCCTCGTGTTTTGGCATCTTGAGGCTGCCGCAGCTGTGGCCTGGGGAGAGAGGGCAACAGTGAGAACCTGGGGCCAGCTGTGGGCCTCTGTGTCATTCTGGCCCGTGGTGGGCTGCCTCGGAGAAGGGCCTGAGGTTCCCCAGCAGGGTCAGAGTGTAGAGGGGCTGCCCCCTGGCAGAGTCAGGACTGGGTGTGGGGGGTTCTTTGGACCCCTGGAAGCACTAACTAGTGTGGTTAGTCGACCACCTGCCTTTGGGTTTGCCTCTCACCGCTGGCGTTACCTTGAGGAAATTACCTAAGTGAGCCTGCCTTAAATAGCATCTGTCTCCTGCCAATTAAAGAAGATTGCCTAATTACCGTGTTTTTTGTTGGTTTGGAGATCATCTCAGGTGCTGCTCTTTCTGGGAGCATGCTAGGTGAATCAGGCATTCTCTGTGAACTGGAGTTTACTGACTAGTTTGGCAATCAGCTGATTCCATCTCAGCCACCCCCAAGGACAGAGCAGAATTGGCCCAGAGGGTTTCTAAGGCTGTCGGTCTTCATGGGAGCAGACTGCCTTATCTTTCTCCTGCGGAGCAGCTGGTGGGTTCAGACAGCTGACCTTTTAAGTGGTTAAGCCAAGTACTTAAGCACTGTGGCACCAGGGTTCCTGGGTAGCTAGGAGGGTAGGTGTTAAGCCGGCTGGAGCTCATCTGTTGGTTTGGGGATTGTCTCGGTTTGGAGGGAGTGTGTGCTCCAGCCCTCACAGGTCCTGTCTGCGGTGCCACCAGCTGGTTCCCCTCCTCCCTTCCTTGTAGATGACGGGAAGCTGTCCTTGGAGGAGTTCCAGCTCTTCTTTGCAGACGGTGTCCTCAATGAGAAGGAACTTGAGGATCTCTTCCACACGATTGACTCTGACAACACCAAGTGAGCCTCACCCGGCGCCAGAGCAGGACACGGGGGTCTGTGGGCATCCCCTCCACCCAGCACCCAGGGCCTCGTGTTCCACACCCTTGTCAGGGGCAGGAGACCGGAAGAGACCCCAGCCTTGCTAATCCGAGAGTCGGGGCTGTCTGGCCCTCCTTGCCTGGGGTAGCGTTGGGAGTGGGCACATTGGGGCTGCCCTGGTGTGACGGCATGTCTGTCTTTGCTGAGTGCACACGGCTAAGCCAAGAGGCCCCAGGCGTTGCAGGGAATGCACCAGGCAACGAAAGTGAGACCTCGGCAATGACTTCATCCTTCCGCTAATTCAGCCCCGGCCCTGGTGCTTCCCTGTCACTGTGTTCATCAAATGCTCATCCCTACCCCAGTGTTAACTGTGCTGTTGATCCCCCAGGTCCAGCCAAACCATAACCAAATAATATCCCTAACTCTGACCTTTATCCCGTTTCGAATCCATGTTGGTTGCCATGGAGTCATTTCTCACGGCGACGCCATGTGTGCACAGTGGGAACTGCTCTGTGGGGTTTCGAGGCTGCGATGTTTTGGAAGCAGGTCTCCAGGCCTTACTTCCAAGTTGCTCCTGGGTAGGATGGAACGGCCCCCCTTTAGCTCAGTCGTCCAGCACTTAACAATTTAGGCCAACCAGGGACTCCCTTCCCACATTTAACTAAACCTCTAGCTCGGAGGTTTGGAAGCAAGAATGGCCAGACTTTGTCTCACCTATTTCGGTCATGTTGTAAGAAGGGACCATTCCCTGGAGAAGGATGTCATGCTTGGTAGGGTGGAGGGTCAACGAAAGAGGGGGAGGCCTTCAACGAGATGGATTGACACGGTGACTGCGATGATGGGCTCAAGTATAGCAGGGATTGTGGGGCTGGCACGGGATCAGGCAGTGTTTCGTTCTGCTGTGCATGGGGTCGCTATGAGTCAGAAACGACTCGACGGCACTTAACAACAACAACAACAACAACAACTAGCTCAGAATCAGCTGAGACTCTAGCTGCAGTCCACCTGTGATCAGGTGTGAGACGCACCTTCTATTCACACCTGTAACCTTTCAGATCTGAGCTCTGCCCTCAGCCCCTTCCTCCTGACTCCCCAGCAGGGTGAGGCAGTGCCCATCAGCCCCCCTCTGGTTACTTCCTCAGGCCCACTCAGGTGAGGAGGACCAGAGTTCCTGGGGGCTGCCTGGGGCAGGTCTGATGAGTAGAGGTCCCCTTAGACTACCTGGAGGTGGTCTGGGCAAGGAGCTGCCACTGGGCCGGTTTGCAAGGGACTCAGGAAAATGGTGGCTGGGCTCGGTCGGGGCTGAGAGTGTCCTGGAAGTGTGGGAGGCTGAGGTGGGGGCTCGGAGGCAGGCAAACGGCAGTCTCATCTGGGGACGCCACTTTGAGGCCTGTGGGGAAGTGACTTCAGGCTGCAGACCTGGGGAACAGGACCCGTCTCCGGAGCCAGATGGAGGTCTCTGAGCGGCTCTTCCAGCCCCTGGGGCGCTTTGAAGCCTCACTGATTTATTCATTTGGTGTCTTGTGCTGGGCCACCTGGGTGGAGGGAGGGTGGGGGAGAGGGAGGACAGGTGTAACCTCACGACTGCCATGGAGGACAAGGGGTATGGTGGTGAGCTCAACCTTCTAGAAGGTCCCAGCTCCCAGAGGCCTTTAGGATGACTCTCACATCCTCCCAGTCCCCAAATCCACTGACAGCTGTGGGATGGATTCTGACTCAGAGAACTGCCCCACAGGCTTTCCAAGGCTGCCATCTTTATAGAAACAGATTGCCTCATCTTTTTCCTGGGGAGCTCCTGGCAGGTTCAAACCGCTGACCTTTTGGTTAGCAACCGAATGCTTTAACCACAGCACGAGCAGAGCTCATCCATCCTCCAAAATTGAGCCATAAACCTTAGCTCCTGGGGCTTTCCGCCCAAAACGGTTGACATGGCTCCAAAAGAAGTGTGAAATGCTGGTTTAAACTAAAGGAGCCCTGGTGGCACCGTGGTGAAGTGCTTGGCTGTTAACCTGAAGGTTGGTGGTTCAAGCCCACTCAGCTGCTCCATGGTGGTCTGCTCCCATAAAGGGGACAGGCGAGGAAACCCTGTGGGGCAATCGTCCTCTGTCACACAGGGCTGCTGTGAGTTAGAACTGACTTGGTGGCAACCAGCAGCAATGGCTGAGACAGATTAGGCCAGTTCCTTTCTACAGGCCTGGCCAGAACTGTACCCGTGCAAGGTAACAGGCTGCCTCCAACACTGGGAACAGCACAGGCAGAACCTCCAGGCCCCCTTTTATTTGGCCCCAGAGCCTTCAGTGTGGAAGCAGCTCTGGGGCCTGGGTTCCACTGAGCCCGATTCTAGGCCAGTCCCCCAAATACCCGAAGAAGGGAACTGCACCCCCAGAAAAACAAAACCCCCGGCCATGAGGTCGATTCCGACTCAGGGCACGAGCCTGCGTGTGTCAGAGGAGAGCCGTTACCACAGGGTTTTTATGGCCCAGAGTTTTTATGGCTGAGGGTTTGAAAATGGATCACTGGATCTCTCTTTTGAGGTGGACTCGAACCACTAACCTTGTGGTTAGCAGCCGAGTGTGTTGACTGCTCACACCCCAGGGTCTCCTGCGGCCCGGCAGGTGGGGGTTACCAGACCTGCACATACCCTTGGCTATGTTCCGCAGCCCCGCCACCAGCGCGGGGCTGCCACACCCGTCTCCCATCCCGTGTTGGTCCTCATGCCCAGCCTGCTCCACTGAGAGGCAGGTCTTTCTCCACATAGAAGTGAGGACGGGGGCCCGGGGGCTAGGGCTTGAACAAAGAGGCGGGGAGGCCCCGGGGCAGTGGGTCCCACACGTTTTGTCAACCACCTGTAATGAGCAGGCCCTCACTTTCTGCCTTGTCCCCTTACCCCTTGGTTCCACTCTGCCCATGAAGGAGTGTGTGGACTTTGGGGTGGGTGTGGCATGGAGGGTGGAGTTGGGCAGCCATGCCTCCGTCGCCTCAGTCCTTCCCCAGCACTGGGTGGGGGTGTCATTTGCCCGCCGCCCTGTCATCTAACAGGTGGGCTTCATGTTGCCACACATGGCATCGCAGGGGAAGGGGCATGACAAGCGTTTCCAAACCACACAGGACGGAGCACACCTGCAGGCAGGCGGGTGGGCGGGGTGGGCCAGACCTGCCGACTCCTCTCTCTCTCTCTCTCTGCAGCCATGTGGACACCAAGGAGCTCTGTGGTAGGTGCCCGGCTGCAGGGTGCTAGGATTAATGGGGCAGAGGCAATGAGGGGATGTGGGTGGGACTTGGGGGACCCAACCTCTGCTTTCCCTTGCCCCAGATTACTTTGTGGACCACATGGGGGACTATGAGGACGTCTTGGCCTCCCTGGAGACCCTGAACCACTCTGTCCTGAAGGCCATGGGCTACACCAAGAAGGTGAGTGGGGGTGGCAGCCCCTCAGGTTCAGGGGCTAAGCAGGAACTTTGCTAGGATCTCCCCAGGCCCCTCGCCCGGCGTCATGACCTGCCTGGCTCTGTGATGCCCACCATTGGTGGGCCTGGCTCAGGATGGGCTTTGAATGGGGCTCTGAGAGGCAGCTGAGGTAAACTGTGAAGTGAGGAGCATGGCTTGGTGAATGGCTCAGCTGACTTTAAAGCTGGTGTCTGGTTTGGAGCCCAGTGCCCTCCTTCAGACCTGGATGCCTTTCAGGTTGGCACACTGGGCAGGGTCCTAGGCTGGAGTCGTCACACCTGACGAGCCATGCGCCCTGCCACCGCCCAGTTTCCAGGATGGAAAGGAGGGAATGGGCCAAGGAATGCGACTGAGTTTCATAGGAGAGCTCTGTGATGAGGTGGGAGACACAAGCCCGACCGCAGAGCTGCAGTCGGTCCTTGTCCTCCACTGATCGAGTCCTGTTTGCAGCTTGCTGTCACGTGCTTGTAACTCCGCAGTCAGTACTGTGGCACCTTGGTGGTTATTCGTGGACACACTCAGGGGGCAAAAACTGGAGTCACCCACCTGAGGCTGAGCAGTATGCGGCCGCCTCATTTCAGCTCTGCACTCGGGTGTCCTTTTCACTGGCTGTTTCATCTCGAGCCACTGTGTTGATTCTCACTCACGGGCACCCTGCTCCGGCCCTTGCAGTGCGGTGTAGACCTGCTGGGTAGGGCTTTCCAGGCTGTGACGTCCTTCTGAGGGACCTCTGGGTGGGTGAGAACCGCCAGCCTTTCAGTCTGTAGCTCAGTGCTTAATCATTTGCACCTGGGGACTCCTACTCAGCCTACTTGGTGGTGCTTTTTCTTATCTTTGTGCTTTTTGTTGGTAATTTTACTGTTCAAAGCAGCCCGAGGGTAGGGCTGAAGTGCCATCTGGTGTTTCCAAGCAGGAGAAGGCTGTGACGGGCCTGATGGGGAGGAACACAGGGGTGGGAGGGGCTGCTTTCAGGCAGGTGCAGTGCTGCTGGCTGGAGTTGAAGGCTAAGGAACCCACAGCGCACGTGGAGTCAATGAGCTGTCTGCAAACGGAAGCACACATTACCAAGTTGTGACCAGAGGCCTGCAGGACTGAACACTGTGTTTCCCCTGGAGCAGTGGTTTGGTATTCGCTAATTCCCAAACCTTCAGTTTAAAAACGCAGCATCTGTGAAGCGCTGTGGAACTAGGTGTGCCTGTATCTTATTTAATAGTGACAGCAACTTCGTGCGATGGGTACTGTTACTTATTTCATTTTATAATTCAGGAAACGGAGGCTCAGAAGGGTGGCCTCAGCCACAGGTTGAGATGAGAGGGGGATCTGAGTTAGGGACCAGGCAAGAGTTACGAAGGGCGGCAGGGGACTTCAGAGCCAGGGGCACCTGGAGGCCCAGTCAGCCAGGAGCTGGGGCAGCCACTTGGACACCCCCACCTGGGCCGACAGGGAGCTGGGCATGGCCACATGGTGAGGGCCACACAGGTGCCTAAGAGCGTTTAGTCCACTGAATGACTCCGAGTTGTGGAGAGGCGGGGGAGCTCAGCTGATGACATCAGCCAGACCAGGCCCATCACTTGCCTTGTTGAGCCTCAGTGCCCCCATCTGTGAAATGGGTCCTTGGGAAGAACGAATGATGTGAAACCTGTCCACTGGGGAGAGCAGGGCCCGGCATGAAGCAGAGGCAACCTCTGATTTTTGTTACTGTTGTTACTGCCGCGTCAGCTGCGACCCCTGACGACCTCACCTATAAACAGCAGAACAGAGCGTCCCCAGTCCCACGCCGTCTCTACAGCCCGTGCTGTGTTGTGGCCGTCGCGTGTCTCCATGTCACGGAGGGTCGCCCTCGTTTCTGCTGACCCTCTTCTTTACCAAGCCTGATGCCCACTTCCTAGCGATCGGTCTTTCCTGATGGCGTGGACTGAGTTAGCTGAAGGCCTGCCTTCCTCACTTCTAAGGAGCAAATGTGCCGGGACGCAGGCCAGATGAATTCTGTACACTTTCCCAAGCCTCTGGGTTAGTGCTCTGCCGTTTTTTAGACGACCCCTTATTCCCACATATCCAGATACATCTCACTTTATTTCTGAGCCTCTACCCACGTTTCCATTTCTCTACCAGTGCCATCCTGTTTTAAATCTTGCAGTTTTTAAGTGTATTTTAATATTGCGTAAGACCAACTCCCATAACTGTTCATCTTTTTAGAATAATCTGGAAGTATCTAGATGGGTGGTGGAGTGGAACGGGGCACGGAAAGACCCAAGCCTTCCGAGTCCCTCAGACGAGGATGTAAACTCTGACTCCGTACCACATGCCCGTGTGAGACTGGGCGTTGAAGCAAGTTCATGGTACCTCGGTTTCCCCTCTTGGAGTGGGGCTGCTTCCAGCAACGCTGTCATGAGGCGTAGGTAACGCCTTGGCTGCTTCTGTGGCTGTGAGCCGGTATGACTGCGAGCCGTACTGCTCAGGAACGTGACATCCTGCCCCTTCAGAGGTGCTCTTGAACCTCTCCCCGTACAGCACAGACGAGTTTTGCGGTTTCCTTTCTCGTAAGTCATCCACGTAGGACGTTAGCTGGTTGGTGGACTTCAGTGGGGTGTGGGTGGGTGGTGGCTGTTGCAATGTCTTCTGTGTTTTCTAGTTGGTTTTTCTTGGTGGAAACGCATCTCACTGTTTGTGCTTTCAAACACCTTCCGTGTATCCTTCCGTCGCAGCTGATTGCTTTGCCTTCGTTGGGACGCAGTCAGGCCATCCTGTCTGACGTCTTCCTCAGGTGTCCTACTGTGTCCTGCTGCGTTCTCCCCAGACCTGAGCGCTTGGCACGGTGCTGCGCTGGGCAGCTGGGTTCATCTTCCGGATTTTCAAGTGCATCTCCACTGATGACAGTATTGATACCAGCCTGTTTTAGAATCTTCTTCAGCATGTTCAGGAATTTTTTTTTCATTCCCTTTGTTAAATTTTGTCTTAGGAGGTGGTAGTTAATTTTCTCAAGTGCTTTTTTGGGTGTTTTTAAAATGATCGTACGGTTTTTGTATTCATGGGGTGGATTCTATTGTTAGCTCTGTCAAACTGAACAGCCCGTAGCTCCCCGGGATCGGCCCTGATTGGCCCATTATTTTCTGATCACAGTGCTGAGTCTTAGTCCTTACAAGAACGTGTGCTTGCGTCTCTGTTGGGAACTGAGTTTGGATGGTAGTTTAGGAATGAACTGTGAGGTACTGAAACATTTTCAGTGTGTGACTCAGCTTCTCTGACATAGAATCATTTTTCTGTTTATAAATGGAAAGAACTTATCGATAACTCTTGGGGAGGGATATGGACTAAACAGAGGGGTGTGTTTTAATAATGACTTTAAGGTCAACTTTAGTTTTAATCGAGTTTTTGATGTTTGGTGTCTGTTTGCATATATTTCTAAGCAAAACTTCATGTTGTTGCTGTTATGTGCCATCGAGTTGGACCTGATGCATAGTGACCCCTCCTTGGGTTTCCGAGGCAGTATCACTACGGAAGTAGATTGCCCCATCTTCCTTCCGAGGAGTGGCTGATGGGTTTGAACCGCCAGCCTTCTGGTTAGCAGTCAAGTGCCTTAGCCACTATGCTACCAGAGCTCCTTCACATGCAGAGGAGATGATTAAAAGGCTCACCTTAGCCATCAAGGGACATCTTTGCTTTTTAATGTTTTAAAGACGTCTTTTGCCACAGATCTGCCCAGTGCAAGACATCATTTGATTTCTCCCCATTTCAAAACTTAGAGTTGAGAGAGGTTTGTCTGTTTCAGTTAGCTTTTCTCACAACCAGCCCTACGTCAGTTACTCAGATTTCATGGTTTGTTCTCCAGTTTAAGTACAGTTTGGGTCATTAGGATTTCCTTCTTGGTATTTCCTTGGGTTTTAGTTGTCATGTTCTTTCTGTGCATGGAGCTCTTGGTTTGGGAGGACTTTTGGTAATGAAGTATGAGAATGTTTGGATGGACGTTTCAGTGGCAGTTTGCAGCCTGTAGGTTTTTGCATGCACTGCATGTATTCTCACCTCCTCTGAATGGCCTGTAGGTTCTCTCACTTCCCATTTCATTTTTAGCACAGAACTGAGCAGCCTGTCGGACTGCAGCTCTGTTTTTTTAAGTACTGTTTCATTGTGCCTTCAGTCTAGGTTTATACCAGTCTGAGTTCCCATTGAGCGGTGTCTCCACGGGCTGTTTAGTGGCGTTGGTTACCTCCACAAGGTGGGAGCATCCTCAGTTTCTCCATTCTGGTTGTCCTATTTCTGTTCATCTTCTGCCCCTTGCCTTCTCCTCTCTGTGTGAAAGTCCTTGGGCACCATGGGGTTTCATGTAGGTGATTCTTTTTTAAAGGAGCACAGTGCTTGTGGGGGATATTCCTGAGAGCCAACTTGTTACTTCCTACGAGGTAACCCTCAGGGGTCACAGTTCACGGTTTGAAGCTTATCTCAAGGCAGTAGTCTCTGGGAGTCCTTCAGTCTCAAACAGTCCACATCTGGGTTTTGTTTTAGGAATTGAAAATTCTGTTCCCCATTCTTCTCCCACCCTGTCAGGGCCCGTCTGTTGTGGCCCTGAACAGGACAGTTGCTAGTGGTACCGCGCTCCATCTAGTTCTTCTGGTCCTACTCTGCTTTGTAATGTGTGGAGAGTTCTTCATGACATCACATCTGTTGTTACTGTTATTCTTATGGATATCTGAGGTGTGGTTCATGCTTTCAGTATATGAAACAGGAAACACAACTGTCCTTTCTTTGTCATGAAATACATGCTCTTGGACCATATTTTGAAAAGGTAAAATCTTGTCACATACAACGAGCATAAGTCAAATTTTCTTTAGTTCATTAACTGATGAGGGAATCGGTAAGATGTGTCAGCTAGTTCAGAGGAGATTTCAGAGAACATACACTCACATGTGTGCACACGCTCACACACACGTGCACATAGACACACACATACAGGCAGCTGGGAATGCTGA